CTAAATCCATTCTTGTATTAAAAATATGTATGGCAAAATCTCATATTTATTTAACAAATATAACCAGTCATTATATTAAAATAAATTTTATTGGATAACCTAATTTGCAATTTTCTCTAAAAATTTGGGACACAAAAATATTTGTTTGAATAATATGCTTAGTTTCTCCTTTTCTATCTTCTACTTGATAAATTACGAAATGGAAAAAAATCAATAGATATACTAAGTGGTCTTAAGAATTTTTTTATTTCTTTCCACAAGCATATTCAATTTATAAAACTCATTTTTGTTAAAACTGCATTATATTAAAATTGGTGATCCTGATTTATTTAATGATTCTTTTTATTTCATTATTTTTATGAATTGGAAATATCAGTAATAGAAACAAATTTAGTTTCGATAAATAAGTAATGTCCAAAAAGGGGAAAATAATTTTACCTTAGATAATAAAATATATATCATTTGGTTTGTAATTTCTATAATCAGCATGAACATAAGAAACTACTAGCTTAGAAATTCCAATTGATAAAAATTATACACAAAAATATGATATTGAACGTTGAGAAGAAAATTCTTTTAGTAGGGAGATTACCTGATCTTTTGTATTTAATATTTATACTGCATTTGTTTCTGGACCCAGTCACATTTTAAAAGTGTGTTTTGGTTCAACACAATCAAGTGTATGATTTGTATACAAAATTCTTCAAAATATTTAGAGCTATACATTAAGAAACATACATTATACCTGTAGGCAAAATCTTACCTTTTATTTATATGATGCTAGGAAGAGTGACATTGTCATCCCAATTTCTATAAAGCAAAGAAATGAAACTATAAAAGATGAAGATATTGTTAAGACACCAAAAAATAAAGACTTGTATCCGTTGACTATATTCTCCAGCATGCACAAATGTCCTTTCAAAAAATCAGAACCACGTTATTTACACTACACATGGCAAAAAAAATTTGTTGATATAATATGCTATTGTATATTTTATTTATCTATTTCAACTAAAGAATTTAGTGCATGCTTTAGAAATGAGTGATTGCTTTTCCATAAGTAACAGAGGAATGTTTTAAGAACACATTTATATTCATGATAGAGTTCATAGATGGAAAAAATTAGAACAATGACCAGCGAGAAGTAAGCTTTTACTTAGCATTAGAAATTATTTAACACCAAATGTGACCATAACTTATCAGTTAAGCATACACAGCTCAAAATGAAACAAATCTTTCAGGATTTTCAATACAAAACTAGAAATGACAGAGCTAAGTAGTAATCCTTTCCAGGAGTCTAATAAGAGAAGGAATTCAGAGTTTCATGTATAATTATTCATTGTACATCATCACCATTACTGTGATAGCTACAGTCAACGTAGCACTTAGAATCACTATGGAGCTCTGCCCTACCTGCCTAAACATTCATAACACAGCAAATGGCAAGCCAAAAACAAAAAACCAGTAAGACCCAGAGTTCCTTCTCACTGACAGCTTAAGAGATCAGTTTATATTCTCAACCTATTCAGAGATGCTAACAGGCTTGCACACTCTGGAAAGTGGTCACAGAATGTTTTCCTGCTTATAGATTTTCAGAAAATAATAGGAAGGACATTACAAGGCTCTATGATTTGTTCTTTCTAATGTGGTGATCTCATTGGAAAACAAGGATCAAGCCCTTGGGGATTCAGAATTTTGGGGTAAAGGAAAGGCAGGTGGAGTTTGAAAACAAAGTAGTTTAATAAGCTTGACTCCGAAATTTGTAGTAAGCAAGCCAACTCAATACTCATGTGGGTATGATACAAAAAAAATATATTTTCTAAGGCCAAAATAAACTTTTCTTCTAAAATTACCTTTGGTTTTATTACTGTTAGTCATAACTCAACTTACAATGGAATTTCAAAAGCATTAAAGACTCTTTAAAAAAGTTTATGTTTATAAAAGAGGGTGTGCATAGTCATTGAGATATTTGAAATGCAATAGCTCTACTTCATACTGAAATCATCAAGTTTTTCATTCCACTGTTATCTGATTTTAATCTTGGGTTTTCGTACTTCTCTGATATTTTCGTTTTGGAATTGGCATTCTATAGATGGGAATAAACCAATTCAACGTTGTTAATGATACTGCTGGCATATATTTGCACACGCTTTACATTTTCAAACACTTTCACTTACACTGGATACCCATGACAAGCCTAAGAAGTAAACAGGGTAAGAATTATTAGTTCTACATTACAGATTAAGAAACTCAGGTTTAGAGGTGTCAAGTGACTTGTCAAATGAATATTAGATGGCAGGATTGAAACTATAATTGAAGTCCTCTGTGTCCCAGTTTACTATATGTACTAATCAGAATGGGCTAGATAACACTGTACCATCAAGTATTCCCAGATGCAGAGACTCAAAATAACATGCATCCATCACAAGATGGCTGGGAACTCTCTTTAGTTCTCTCACTCTGAAATCCAAGATATTGTACCATTCACAATCTGAAATGTTGCCTGTCCCTGGGACAGAGGGAAAAAAAATTATAACAAATTAAATACTTGCTCTCAAAGCTGCTGCACAGCCCTTCCTGCTCATGGTTCAGCAGCCAAAGCAAGTCTCATGGTCATGACTAACTTCAAACAGGCAAACCCACGAGGAAGTAAACCAAACAGGAAGTATTTTATAAATGTCACTGATTACAATAGTCAGTCTTTCTGGGCACAAAATACTCAGTCCACTCTCCTTCCTATAGGCAATATTCTTTCACCCCACTCCCTGAAGGAAAAAAAACAAATCCCTTGCAGTAAAGACATCAAGCTCAAAAAGGAGGAAATTTGGTAACACATTGTAGTCCTTACATCAGGGAGAGATGTGCCTTATGTCTGAATAGCACTCCTCTTGAATGCAAAACCTACGAACTGAAAAGGCAAGTCATCTACTTCCCATACATCCAATATATACTGGGGTTACAAGTTCAGGATAACCTCAGTAACTATTCCCATTTAGAAAGGAGAATGGGAGACACACAGCAGTGTTGGACTGCCATCGTTGTGAAATATTAGCAACAGATATTGTGATGATTCTCTATCCCAAGAGGAGAGAAATGTTCCTTGATTAGATCCTAGAAAGGACTCTCCCGCCAATTATTCTTCAGGGCACTTTGTTCTACCCTCTGAAAAATTCTTCCATTTCTATTTTCCACAAAATAGAACATATTCAAAGTGAACATTAGGGAATTTGACCCTATAAATATTGAACAACATTTTCAGACAGCTACATTTGCAAAAGGAGAACAACAAAGATCATGTGGTAAGTTTTCCTTAAAACCAAATGCATGCAATTTAAAAGACAGTTCTTTATTCTTATATTTTATGTATAATTATGTACTTCATATATGTTAGTGTTAAAACATCCTTTCCTGTGGACTTCTCTATCAGCAATACAATGGACTTCATTAATAATGGCTTCTTTCAATAATGAATAATTTGTGTGATATATATTTTGCATACAGATAACTTTCATAGCATTTCTGGGATTGCAGAAAAGAGTAAAAACCCTTAAAGAACTAAAAACATAATAATAACAAAAATAACTAACCCAAAACAGTTTACGCTGAAAGTTGTAAGTGCATACATGAGTGCGCATGCACACAAATGGTTTTGCTCTGGCAGTGGCAAGTGAAAGGTACCTGAGATTATTATATTACGCCTAGGACCTGGGCTAACAGGTTTACAGGCATCTGGAGCCTCATGGCTCCCAGCAGAAGCATACACAAATTCTTTCTGTAAGAAAGTTTCGATTAGCTCAATGTGAACATCCTTTGTGATTACAAAACACAAGGAAACAAAATCACCGTAGTAAATGACAGTGGAAACATCAAAGAGATATTCTCAAGAACTATAAATATTAGAATGATTACATACAGAATGTAGGATAATTATGAAAAAGATTTAGAGAAATAAAAGAAAATCACAGAATTGAGTAAATAATAAAAGATTATTCAAAATGATCAGGGAGATTTTTAGAAATAACTAATTTTAACCATTATAAATGAAAAATATAATTGTTGAAATAAAAAAATTCAGTGGATGAATTTAAAAGCAAATTAGACACAGATAAAGAAATGAGAAAATGAAAACTTACACAGAATCCAACACAAAGTGTCAAAAAACTAAAGAATATAAAAGAGAGATTAGGATTTAAAGACAATAGAGTAAGTAGACTTGATTTATACCTAATTGCCATCCCACAATGAGAAAATTGAAAGTGGAGAAGAAACAATTTTTGACAAGTTAATGCTTAATAATGAAAGTCATAAACCCAAGCTACAAGGTAAATAATGTGTACTTAGTGAGGATAAAGATTAAAATCAGGAAAAAAACAATAACCGCACTCCTATTTAACATTGCACTGGTTGTTTTAGTTAATACAGTAAGTCAGGTAAAAAGAGCTATGAGAATTAGAAAAGAAACACAATTGTTATTGGACACAGTTGGTTGACAATATAGAATACTCCTAAAATCTTACAATTAATTAGAAATAATGAGTGAATTTTTTATTTTTATACATCAGTCACATACAGAAGACATATTCTTAAAGTATTATTTACAACAGCAAGAAGTGACACAGGGAATCTAAAAATGCATGAAACAAAAAATATGCATAGGTCTATGTGGAAAAAAATGTATTGAAAGACATCGAAGATCTAAATTTGCAGCATATATGATATTCAAAGATAGAAATACTCAATATTTTTAATATATTATTTCCCTCAACAGGCTTCTTTCTGGTTCCTTCAGAACTTGAGAAGTTGAGATAAAATTTTATGTAAAGAGCAAAAGTCTGAAAATAGCCAAGATATTCTTGAGAAGTAGATAAAGGTAGTAAATATGTATAAAAAGAACATTTCCAGAACGAAAGCGGAAAGAGAGGAATCTGTCCTTAGCCTAATTCATAACATTAATGCATCTAAAGAAAAAAATTACCTAAGAAAAAGGAAACCAGAGGTACATGCGAGAGTGTGAGAGGGTTGATGGGAAGTGGAAGAAGTCGAGTAAGAGAAGCATTTGAGGAAGGAGGTCTGGTTTCATCTGCAAAGGTGCCTTCTGTTATACATGGATGCATCTGGGTATTGTAGTGTGATTCTATTAGATACTTGGATCAGCAATTTCAAACATTTTTGTGCAACTACACCTAAAATCATTTTTAAAAAATATTTTATCCCTTACATGTTTTTAAGGTGGCATCTGTCATATTTTAGCATATATTTAAACAATAATAAAGGATGTAATCGCTGTTATATTGAAAATTATTACAATTTAAAATTTCAAAAATTATATTGATTAAGTTTATAAAATGGAATCTAACACCCACCTTCATCCCTTTAAAAATATATATAAACAACTTTATCTCTATGCTGGAAATTTTACATTGTTTCTTTTCCTACCTGAATTTGTATTTTTATTCCACCTCCTCCATAGAACTTCATGCTAAAATAAAATATTTTTATGCATTAAAGTTCTTTACTACTTACTTTATCATGTCTCTGCAACAAACATATGTATGTAAATGGAAATTTTATACATTTTTACATTTTATGTGGTAGATGAGTCCTTATTCTTCCAATTAGTTTATGTATCCATGGGTGAATATTACTTAATGCTGGAATAAGACAGAATTCAACATTAATTCTATATCCAGCTTCATTTTTATAAATGTAGGCATTAAGCCTCTAGTTCTTTGCTTATAGCAATATTAACACCACTAATTTTAATTATCCCTTTGGCCTCCAGACAGTTTTTATACCCTGGGTCCATGTACTTGGAATGGATACAAGTGATGCCTTTCTTTCATCAAATGGGAAAAGGTGATTATGAAAGGGAGACCAACAGGAGGCCTAGACAACAAGTATGTTGTTAGGCGGATCAATTTCAGGATGGGAAAGATAAATAGAAGATTTTAACAATGAACCCCTTAAAACTGTCCAGGCCTTTACATATATGTAGGCCTTGGAATGTCTTTGTGTGCCCCGGTTTGAGGACCAGTGATTCAAGTCACATATTTCCTCTGACTGATGTACTTGGTCAGTAAGAGCATTTTGATCATAATGTCACTTGAATTTCCTCAGGCATATGTGTTATATGTAGGTCACATTAGCAGCAATAACTTAAATTGCACGTAATTTTGTTCCCATCTGCTGACAAGATCTTTCCTTCCTTGCAAATTCCAACAGACCCTTCCCCCCATCACTCAGCACCCAAGCAGTTGTTCTTATGTGTTCACAAATAAATCTGCATGACCAATTCTTCAGCACCTCTCTGTAGGCACAGGCACCAATGCATTCAAGCTGTGTTTCCCATGTTTTCAGAGTAAAAACATAATGGAAATTGCTCAAATGTCAAGCCAAAATCTATAATCCAAAATATGTATTACTATTTTGTCAAGTAGGTTTTTTTTTAATACCACACATTGTCACTAATGTTTAACTTGTACGAGGACATTTTTAATGTTTTAAATGATTTCTTATTATAAAATGTTTGATGCATACAAAATATATGTAATACATATGTAAATTACCACATAAAATTAAAGCGAATATGTGAACTCATCATCCAGTTTAATAATTAAAACATGACCAGTACGTAGCTTTTTATCTACAAATTCTGTTTCTATCCTGTTCTCCCGTCTTCCTCCCAGAGAGATAACTAGTAGCCTAAATTTTGTTTCCAACATTCAGTTCTTTTCTAAATATAATCTTTTATTATATGCCTGTTACCCTAAATATTAGTTTCTCTTGTAACTCAGGTTTTCAAAGATTATGTATTCTATGTACTAGTCAGTTAGCTTTCTTCATTCAGTGTTTCTAAGATTTAGCCTTGCTATTACGTACAACTGTGGTTTATTTGTTTTTAAAAATTATGTTATTCTTTTGGGTACATCACCCCAATTTATTAATTCATGCTCCTGAAATGGACATTTGGATTTGTAAAGAATTTTTGCTATTATAAGCAATGCTGCCCATTCAGATTTGTGAGCGTTTTCCAACGGAAATGGAATGGCTGTCTATAGACATTTTTAACTTTATAAGACAGTTGTATTTTTTTTTCCAAAGTGATTGGATATGTTTACATCTCCTCCATTAGAGGATAATATCTCTTGGACTTGCATCTTCAGCAACTCCTAGTAGTAACATACTTAATATTTATCAGTCTAGTGACTATAAAATAACTTCTTGGGGCCTTCATATGCAGTTTGCAAACTGATAATAAGGCTGAGCAATTTTCACATTGTACTTGCCATTCGGGTTTGCCACTCTATGTCTACCACATCTTTTGACCACGTTTCCAATTGGATGATTTCTTGATTTGGAGGCATTTTATATATATATATATATAAATATAACAGGTATTAACTGGCCGTAGTAGGTGATGTATCTTTTTTTTTTTTCTTTTTTTTGAGTTGGAGTCTCACTCTGTCACCCAGACTGGAGTGCAGTGGCCGCTCTCGGCCACTGCAGCCTCGACGTGCTGGGCTCTGGCGATCCTTCCGCCTCAGCCTTCCAAGTAGCCAGAATTACAGGCATGCGCTACCATGCCCGGCTGATTTTTTGATTTATTGTAGAGATGGGGTCTCGCTGCCCAGGCGGGTCTCGAACCTGCGGGCTCAGGTAATCCACTCACCTCAGCCTCCCAAAGGCGGGATTACAGGCTGAGCCACCGAGCCCAGCAAGTGATGTATCTTGAATATATCTGGTTTACATATATTTTCTTCATTCAGGTCTCAGAATTCCGTGGGTCCTGTACAGTTGCCTCTCAGTATTGATGTTTTCTTTCTACACTAGCAATCGCTCATGTTTTTGTTGTGATAACCAGTTGAAGAGCACTCTCATAAATCTTATCTCAGTTGAGTCTCCCAACAACTTTTAAAAACAAGATGGGTACTATTCTTCTTATTTTATAGATAAGAAAACAGTGGTTTGCCCAAGGTTGGAGGGCTCCTACATTCTTAGACTCCACATTCCATATCCTGTTTATGATTATATGTTTCTTCAGCTATTTGTAGATTACAACCCATCCAGTTAAGAAAATGCTGCACCTCTGCTTAGCATTCTTACCTTAGTTCCTTCTCTCTTTTTTTTGCATATAATTCAAAATACGACTCTAGTCTATGAAGTTCATTCTAAATATATTGTCTACAAAATGAGTAAAGAAGGCACTAAGAAATAGTAATAGGATTTTTTAAAAGAGAGGCTAGGAGGATATTAGGAATCACAAGTTACTGTTATGTGTCAAACCTCATTTTTAAAATTAATGGATCTGGTATGTGAAAGAGAACTGATTTTAAGTCGAGTATTTTCTTTTCCTTTAGCCTCCCAGATAGTTAAAAAGAGGACTAGAGGGAATAAAAGAAGAAAATACACTTTAATATTCATTGGTATTATCTAAATTGGCTTCTCTGTGTCAAATAATGATTTTTCTATTTAGTTAATTAAATATTAAATACTATCTGTTATATTAGATATAATTAATATCTATATTGTGATTAGCATTAAATATTGACCTTATAATGGAAAGTAATACTGGTAGGACAGTAATTCCATTGCTCTGCCTCCAGCGGAAGCTGCTACATCTGGGCAGTAGGTAAATATCAGCCTTCCATGAAATACCAAGGAAGGTGAGTTAGGAGATGCCCAATGTTACCTCTCAAGTATTAGAGATGGTAAACGTAGTACTTCTCACTCTCTGGCAACTGTAAAATAAATAGAGAGACTTAAGCTAATCAAATCACTTCATAGGAATTCTAATCTTTGGATACTTTCCATGGATGATTCTATTTTTATGTACATTACATACACCAAAGAAAACTACGTGTGATGAAAATAGCAGTAAAAAGAAACGACCTGGAGATAAATAACAAAACAGAAGTCCTACTCTGAGGTATTTCATTTTTATTTATTTATTTTTGAATCAGAGTCTCACTCTGTCGCCCAGGCTAGATTGCAGTGGTACAGAGCACGGCTCACCACAGCCTCCAACTCCTGGCTCAGGTGATGCTTCTGCCTCAGTCTCCTGAGTAGCTCCAACAACAGGCATGCGCCACTACACTTGGCCAATTTTTTTTTTTTTTTTTAAAGATGAGTGAGATCTCACTATTTTGCCTAGGCTGGTCTTGGATTTCTGGGCTCAAGCAATTCTCACCCTCCCAAAATACTGGGATTACAGGTGTGAGCCACCGCACCCGACCTACTTGGAGATGTTTTAATCACCATATAATAATAGTTAAACACTTAAGCACTTCCTGGGAACATCCCTTGATGCATAATAAAAACACAGGCCCATATCATATCTTCTTCTCCAAACAGAAAGATCTTTAACAATGGTCTATGTTCTAGAGATAATTACAAAATATGACCTCTCTAGATCTCTTTCTTCTAATATTTTTAATAACCACATCTCCAGTTATAGAACCTGTATTCACCCATCAAATATTCCTACTGCAGTGCTCAATTTTAAGTGGGCTGTCTTGCTTCTGGTTTTGTGAAGCGCAGGCTTCTACATGTATTTTGATCTGAGTCTGAGAGCTGTACATGTTATTTGATAAGTACTGTCTGCTGATGAGTTCTCTGTATGTATTTCTTTTATGAGTCAGGTACTATAACAAGGCTTATTCAGCTCACATTGAGTAGGGGATAATCACACCACAAAGTGGTGGCATAAGAGAGAGCTGTGTCCTGGGGCAAGGGCATGTGATGACTCGGGAATTCAGATCTGTGTTTGTAGAGAAGAGGTGAATTCTGTGTTGGTAATTTTGAACTCCACATGTTTTATGGTTTTGTCTAAGGAAACGGATCACTCATAACATAAGGGCAGCATCATTCTTAACTGGAAAACTTCATATGTCCTAGTCCAAAGGGCCTTTAAGAGGCAAATTATCCATTTTGAGAAGGGTGTCCATTATACATTTCAAGTATATCTTCAAATAAACTGCTTTTAAAAAGGGCCTGTGGGTAAGATGACCACAAAATTTATTTATTTATTTGAATAATGTCACCCAGAGTTCAAGACACAGGAGCTTTTACTATTTATTTATTTATTTGAGTTGGAGTCTCACTCTGTCGCCCAGGCTGTAGTGCAGTGGCTGCTCCCGGCCACCGCAGCCTCGACCTGCTGGGCTCCGGCGATCCTTCCGCCTCAGCCTTCCAAGTAGCTGGAACTACAGGCGCGTGCTACCACGCCCGGCTAATTTTTAAAATTTTATTGTAGAAATGACGTCTCGTCAAGTTGCCCAGGCGGGCCTCGAACCCTCTGGCTCAGGCAATGCACTCACCTCAGCCTCCCAAAGGCGCAGGATTACAGGTTGAGCCATAATTGAGTCAGGGTCTCACTCTGTCATCCAGGCTGGATTGCCATGGCACAATCACAGCTCCCTGTAGCCTCCACCTCCTGGGTTTATGTGATCCTCCCACCACAGCCTCCTGAGTAGCTGGGACTACAGACATGGGCCACTACACCCAGGAAATCTTTTTATTTTTTGTGTAGCTGGGGTCCACTATGTTGCCTAAGCTGGTCTCGAACTCCTGGGCTCAAGCAATACTCTTGCTTCGGCCTCCCAAAGTGCTGGGATTACAGGTGTGGGCCACCACACCAAGCCATCCATATAATTTAATTTCCACTTTGGGACAAGTGCAAGACTAGTGGGACACTGGGACAACAGACCCAAACAGGAACTGTCCCAGGCAAATAAAAAAACAGCATCATCCTGTTTATGGAGAAAAAGCGCCCAAGGCCTTCTATGAGGTGAGGGCAGGAGAGTTGATTTGGTAGACTCTTCCCTCAGGGGAAAAAAGTATGAAACCCAAAGACTCTTCCTATTGACCACAGGGAGGTCAAGATAAGCTAAAGACCATGAATTTTAAGGACTTTACAAGAGCCTGAAATCTTTGGCATTTCAATTTTGATTTTTAAAATCTCCATACATATCATTATGGTAATTAACAAAGCCCTTTATTAAAAGGGGTTTTTGTGTTACTCTTTAAGGGCAGCAAAAAATGAAGCTCTTGGGGAACACTACCTCATTTTCCTGTCACCTTGGATGTTGGTGGAGAAAGGAGAGAAAGAAAGAGAAGGAAGGGGGGAGAGAGAGAAGGAAGGAGGGAGAAAGTGAGAGGGAAGGAAGGAGGGAGAGAGAAAGAGGGAGGGAGAGAAGGAAGAAGGGGGCGAGAGAGAGAGAGAGAGAGAGAGAGAGAGAGAGAGAGAGAGAGAGAGAGAGAGACACGGAAGGAGGGAGAAACAGAGAGATATAAGGAAGGTGGGAGAGAAAGAGAGAAGGAAGGAGAGAGAGGGAGAGAAAGAAGGAGGGAGGAGAGAGAAGGAAGGAAGGAGAAAGAAAGGAGAAACAGAAAGATATGAGGAAGGAGGGAGAGAGAAACAGAGAGGGAGAGAAGGAAGGAGCGAGAGAGAAGGAAGGAGAAACAGATATAAGGAAGGAGGGAGAGAGAAAGAGAGTGAGAAGGAAGGGGGAAAGGGGAGGGAGAGAGACATAGAGAGAGGGAGAGACACAAGACAAAGAAATGAAGTAGTTCCTTTGCAAGAAAGAAGGGTGGGGAACATCTGGGATTATAAAAATACACTGGAGGCAAAAAACAAGACCTTGTGAAATGCCTGACGTGGTGTCCCACGAGACTGATTAATAAAACGATAATCTGAGTGACCCTGGGGGACAACGCTGTGCTGTGCGAGAGGAGAGAGTGCGCGCTGTTTGAGAGCAATGACACTTGGTTTTCTGGGAGCCGGACCGTCGGCTCCTAGTGACACTGTGTCCCCGAGTTGTCTGTGAAGGGGGTCCAGGGACTGCAGCCTCCAGTACGTCCGCTCCAGCACTTCGGACGGCCGACGCTGCCCAGCGCACGGGGCGAGGCAGGAAAACCAGCCGCCGAAACCGGGCGCCGGGTCAGGTGCCCTCGGCCGCCGACGCTTCCCCGGCGGCCCCGCCCACCCCGCCCCAGGCCCGCCCACCTCCCCGTCGGCGCCTTAAATCCACGGGCCGCGGCCCGCTTCCCCCGCGGGCCCGCACCGAAAACCCGGGCTCCGCAAGCTTCCGGCGGCGGGAGCCGCGGGGCGC